TCAGGGTTTTTAGTAAAGACCTAAATCGGGTCGTCCGCTTACTATAGGAATTTAGGATTTCAATATAACCTTAAATCGGGTCGTTCACTTATTTTAGGGTTTCAGGCTTTTTAGCAAAGCCCCAAATCGGGTTGTCCCCCGGAACTTCCCATGTCCTCTAATGCTGCAATGCCTTCACTGTACTATGCGTAGTCCGCCGATTTGCTTCAGACGCGTGCTGGGTGAACGGGTGGGTCCTTTATGTCTGATGCGGTGCTTAAACTTTGGCTTGGTGTGGGCTGTAGCAACACATCAGGCAGTCTTGGTGGATCTGTTTAATATAGTTGTTGTTCGTTAGGACTTCAGGGGTTTAGAGTTTTTTAGACTTTAGGGTTTTGGGGGTTGGGTTTTGGTCTCGGTGGATCTGTCTGTGTAATGTTAATTGTTTTCGCTAGGTCTTCGGTCGTATAGGATTTAGGGTTAAGGGGGTACCCTCGGTGAATCTGGTTGGGTGATTGGGGCCGGACACAACGTCACTTTAAACGTATGTGCTTGAATCTCTAAGTGATGTCAGTTAACCAAAACCAAACCGAACCAAAGCTTAAAAACACTTAACACCCCAAAAGGCTAACACTCTCAAAACAAGATAAAGCCCTCTAACGAAAGCACAGACATCCGCTTCAAAATCCTTAAAACCCAACAAGGATAACACACTCAAATCAATACAAAACCTCTAAAGCACACAGATCCGCTTCAAAACCCTTAAAACCCAACGAGGATAACACTCACAACAATACAAAACCTCTGAAGCACAAACATCCACAACCACTTACATCGAGGTGCTCCGGGTGCAAAAATGAGTCCCATTTGTTCGGCGACCTTCGACTGCAGAGTCTTCAGATAGAACATGGTACGGTGATGCGCAAACGCCTGCGAGTGGCTAACAAACCTGTGCGTGGGAGGGAGTGAGTGAGTGAGTGTGAGTGAGAGTGTGAGAGAGAATGAGAGAGAGAGAGAGTGTGTGTGTGGGCGAGAGAGAGTGTGTGTCGGAGAGGAGAGGGAGAGGTTATAAGAGCATGCACAAACAAGACAGAGTGTGAGTGGCGTAGGGTGTGGTAGAGTATAGTGTGATATTCGGGCAGTATGTACAGAGGGGAATGGATCGGAATACACAAAATGACAGACTTAGGGTGGGATAGGATGTGGTAGAGTAGAGCGCACTATATGCTCAGATATATATATATATATATATATATATATATATACGCGACACACACACTACTACACACA